AAATCATAGCATTGATTCTTCATTGGACTGGCTCTGAAAGAGCTGTCTATCCAATGATCACCCGGCGTTGCAAACAAGGTTATTGTGATGAATATACACCTCCTGGGTACAAGTATATGAATGAACTGACAAAAGATTACCGGATACGCATGCCTGACGAGCGGCAAGAACCGCGAAACCGGTCGTGTGCTTCCAGAGAAATTTTGTCCAGTCATTCACATACTACTTTACACTACTACATATATATATATATATAACGATAATCATACCAGTATTGCAGTTTGTTTGACCCATGATTAGATAAACTTCCAGAGTGTTAACGAGGATGTTGAAAATTTGTAAAACAGAAAATAATATTGTTGGGGTAAGAATAAGATGACGTTAACTTACTTGCATAAGCTTTTGTTTTAAACCATTAATCAGTTGTTCTTTATATTGGAACACCCTAACTAGATAGGGGACCGTAGTGTTACCATACAGTGTACTGTTCGTGTGTACAGTGGCCTGAGTATATTACTTTTTCGTGATATTCAAATAAAGCAGTAACGATCAGCACGGTGTGGGTGGAGACTTTTGAACAGCATTACTTTGCACAGCCGGTCCCGTGATGAGGAGTGTGTTTAAAAAGAATTTGACTGGCGATGTCACTTCGCTTGGAAACACAAATTAAAGATCTTTTCACCAAGGCGAACAAACCTGAACAAATACAGGAAGACAGTGAATCCAACGAGATGAATTTCGGTGTAATATTGAATGTAATCTGCAAAAATGAGTAAGAAAAAGAAAGTTTCCCTAACATGACAAATCCATTTGCTGTCTTTGTATGGAAATACACCTGGGTGTTGTGGTCGATCATGACAAAACTGTGTGGGTGAATGTCAATATTGTTTTCACAGACCAAATCGGCAGGTGGTTTGAATGTAGGAATAAGGTATTCGTCGAGATCGTGCGTGGTATTTAATGACCGGAGAGAGTGACCACGAATTAGTTGCTTGTATTTGTATCTGTTCACCTGATTGCTCCCAATATTGTTAGTAACCGATCATTTGTGTGTGCTAGTATTCATCCTTTCGATTGCATATCTGGTCGAAATATAAACAGTGTGGTTTACTGAGGTTCACCATACAGAATAATAGAGTACGATGTACTGAATCAATTCAAGGGTGTCATTCACTTCGACAGTCATCCTGGATAATCAATTAGATTCTTCGATTCAAAGTTTATCACTTTTTGTGCGCTAGTGGTTTCCTAACACTTGAGCATCACGGAAGTATAGAAACAATGTGTTCGGTGATTGGTTCTGTGAATAAATCTCTTGTTTTTTTTTCTTTAGTCTACAGACGACGATGACGATATTGTTGAACCTCGCGACTTAAACGATACCGAACCGCTCGACTTGCCGTTCTCGGCGAAAACAGACAATCAGGCGGTGGTAGTGGAGCCACTCACGGGGAAACAGAAACGCCGTTTGGAACGCGCTTTACGAAAACAAACTGGTGGTACAGGACGTCATTTCTATCGGGAATTACGGGCAGAGCGGGAACAGCAAATGAATTCGCAAGCGCCAGACGATACCAGTGCCAAATCTCGTATAAAATCAAAGAAGCGCACCAAGCGTCGATAGTTCTCCCATTGGCTTTTACCCCTGCCTTTATATCTCTTCAACTCTGATTTCAACTGGTCTGTGTAAATATATCTGGATTTGTTTCAGTAATCCGATTTATGTCTGACTTTCGGTGTACTCAACTGCTTGGAGTCGAAAAAGTAAAACCTAAAGGTAGAGAGAAAGTTCCCAAAATGATGGTCGCATTACCAAAACATAGAACTACTTTAGGGAGAAGTGTTATCCTGAGTCGTAGAACAAGACGCCTTATTGCATAGGAATACCATAGTCGTCCTTCTTTCTCTAGGAGACCGAATAATAAGTAACGAGGACAATCGGACTCTTTATTCTTTAGCCAACCAGAATGTAATACCAAACTATCACTCTCCCCGGTCGGTTGGTGCAATCTCACTATTCGTTTATGCTTTAGATGTTAATCTCCCCACACCTAAAGCCAAAAGTGCAATATGCTGGACACTTTCTCGGTACTCCGGGAGTGCTTCAAACCGCAGCCATTTTGTCACTGACCACGACGCAACTATTCTATCACATCTCAGACAGTCTGCTTTTGTCCATTCTCCCAGAAGCGTCGATTCCAGCAAGCATAGCACATTTGGCATGCCCCTTTCAAACCAGAGGCGTCTAGCGCATACGGTTTATGGATCACAGCATCAGCGAAAATCAAGGACGTCGACAGTTGTTGCAGCAGAACCAGAACATGCTACTAACTACCGTTCAGCCACCAGGCTGAAGTAGATGGGGTCAACACCTCCAAAAGCCTCAGTATGGTAGGGGGTAGGTGTCTAGGGTTGCGGCTGGTCAACTTTCCCTGGCGCCTCGCGAAATGCTCCCATACCACTAAGCCTGTCAAATAGCCTGTGCTAAGGAAGCCCTACTCAATACCTTCTCGTGGTGGAGGTGTTTTTCTAACAAAGTGAGAGGAAAAGCCAATGACCGGGTTGGTGGACCACTGGTAGTTCACCTAGGGGAGTTGGCCAAAAACCGTGATTTCAAACCAACTAAGAGGCGTACGAACCACGCAAAACATAGATGTCACGGAACATTTTGTCTTTTTTAATAAAAGTCATTGTACCATGACTTGTTTAGCACACGGTCTGGCGTCAGACTTGTGTGAAATGTAATAAATATAATAGAAGTGGTCAACACTGCACACATTAAACCTAAGACGTAAGAAACGGGCCCATGTTACCCCCGGCGACGCGCCTGAGCCTAACTTATCGGTTATAAGTCTATTACTCATGTAGAAATAAAATAATATTACCAATAAAACGTGACTAAGAATACTTAGGAATAATGTATGAAAAAACGTTTAGTTGGTTATTTAGGGTAAATTTACCTTGAGTCGCGATTAGGTGTTAATGCCATTAACAAATGTTCGGATATATGCAATACGGAACCACATCCGGACATTCCCCAATCACATCACCTACTGGCCCAGTAACATTTCTCAACCTTCGTTCTGTCCGGCTCCAGAAGGGTTTGGTGTGAATTCACAAAACGATTGGTATTGTATTAACACAAGCGGACACAACCCATGGAGCACAGTGAACGATATAACCTCGGCTTCTACAGAACTCTTGGAGGTGCATTACCTGACCACGGGTAAAAGTTAGTCCTTTAGTTGGTGACCGTTAGATTGGCATACATTCTACTCAAGCCGAAACTCGAAGTCGTTGAAACATCCGGAACAAGTTCGAACTATGGTCTGAAGTTCACGACTTTAAACAAAATATCCAAGTTCACATACGGGTAAAACACGTAGACCATAACAATATGTATACATTTAAAAAGTCTAACATTTTGAAATTCCTTTCAGTTTAAAATACTATCAAATACCGAAAGTGGTTTGCTGATGAATACAGTGCGTCAAGAAATGTTCACGGGCAAAAGGTCCTGAAAAAAAATTAGAGATCCCAGAAACAATAAATTAAGTTCCCCAAATAGGCCTTACTCGCGAGCCGTCTGGCTTTTCTGGGATCCTTTGAGAAATTATAAAATTACTTCTACTCTTATCACTTGTGAACATTTATTATTTATCATTGAACCTGGTGACGCAATGCCGCGGGTTTTATTTCACGTCATAACGTCGAAATAGTTGTTGGAACTGCAAATATCAGTATGGGGAATATCAGCCTATTCTATGAGACAGTAGAACAATGTTATCGCGACATCTCGCAGATGAATGACCAGTTTAATTACCGCCAAAATATTGGTCAATTTCATGAAGAAAAACAACCAATTTGTTACTGGGACAATTTTACATATTAAAGCTTTGATATAATTGATGAACTGAGCACCAGTCACACTTCTGACAATGTTTCCGCGCACAAAATAGATCTCAACACCGTTTTGGGAAAATTCCCTCCATGACCATACGTTCGGACAAATTAACAGTAGGTTAGCCTCCACACAAGTTGAGGTTTCGAAGGACATCTTCCTGATGGACCACGGTGAGAATAGGTATAGACTTTCAAAGGAGTGGATCCTCACGGAAGCCATTCCAAACGAACAAGGTTGACACAAATTTGTAACATACTAACAATTGGAAGTCAGAAGTTTTCGATGCTTCTTCGAGAGATGCGCCAATCGACCGTTGCATGCACGAAGCACTTCTGCGGTTACAGCGAATAACTAACGCTGTGAAGAATATCATATTCGCAATACCTAAAATGGACCGCAGCCGCAGTGGCACGTAACAAGTGAGTCCAACCGTAAACTGCATCAGCGACTATCCAACAAAGAAAAAGAAACCGAAGATTTCATTGCAACTCTGGCGCAGTTGACTGCATCTGAACTCCAGAGTAAAAAGCAGGTACCTCTGGACGACATGTAACACCAGATGACTGAACTTCGGGACATAGTCATAGGGCTCCTCAACACAAACTGCTCAACTTCACCCGATCCGGCTTCTACTGACTTAATTGACCGGGGGTTCACCAAAGAAACTGCAACACCTGTGTCAAACAAACATGACTCTTTCTGAACCGCAGCCTCCAAATTGGGCTGTCCTGTACGACCATCAAACGCTCCGGAAATGGTGTTGTTTGGGGCATATGATTTGAACGAAATCGGAGGGTTATTCATGGACCGATGACGCTGTCCTTCAGAGCAATTTTCCCTTCAACACGGACTCTGTTTTCGAAATTAACCTTTCAGACGGTTCTCTGGTTGTCATTTGCTCCAATGGCCGACACCTTTGTTAATACCTAGAGTATCTCCGTCACTCCTATAGGCTGGTGCCTGGGCCTTTCAGTTGCCTGCACAGCCGTACCTTTCTACCTGGCGAAATCCTTCACTACATCCGCCAGACGGTATACATTCATGGTCTTCTCGGCATTAATTATCCACGCCGCCTCCCGGCAAGTCTTCCGACAAACTCTCCTTGAAATGATCCGGGAATAATTCGTGCAGCTTCGTCTAACGTCGGGTGCGTTCGATCGAACGGATCACGCAGGGCCACGGCGTGCGACAGTGTCCACACCAACGGTGAGCTGTGCCATCTTGAAGCGCCGTAGTGCGTCCAGGCAGTCGTCCGGTGGGTCGATTCCTGAAATCAGGGCATCCTTCGTTGTGGCCCACTCCTCTGTGGTTATTCGCGCCGCCTCCAACACCGGCCGCACACGGCCCTTGGGAAACGTTCTGAGGGCCACCAACTTACCCCGGTGTAAACTTATCCCCACCAGCTGCGCGACGTCCTCGAATTCCTCCAGAAAAGTCTGCACGTCCTCATCCTCGAAAGCTCTAAGCCTGATCCTGGTGACGCTACCGATTGCTCTAATTCCAAAAGATTAGTATCGACTTGAGGAAAGTTACTTATGCAGAGAATAGTATCGGATAGGGGAAATAAGATAACAGAACGACACATTTAATTTGTAACAATTGATCAATACTTTCGTGATCTTATCTTCATCGATAATCGCCAGCCTGACAGTCTGACCGTCACTTCTGTAGTTGGAATAGTAAACCCTTTAATGTGGGAATCCAACAACCGCTTGTTGGTTCACACCTACTAGTTACAAATATAATTAGCACCTCACAACACTAGTATTTTTGCGTTGAACGTAAACTGCTTCTACTGGTATCACTGTCAACTGAATGATAAGTCTAGGCGTGGTAATCCTAGTTGCAAGAAGCACCACTGATCTTCGAAAAAGTGGAAGACCAACGTGCCACCGCGTTCGGTTCGTCCACCGCAGGTCGTCTGCTCTTAATTGAGGACGAAAATTCTCGTAGAGATAAGCTGGTTATCATTGAGGCCAAACTAAGGTCATCCGATTTTTAGAAACAACCGCAAAACCAACCGGTCTCTGCCTAAATGCCAGTGGCGGGACACCCACATATACCTATTGCTGGAAGAGAATTTCCTTAGGCTTCAGCCTGCTTCATACCCTCTCCTGGGTTTCCTACCTCACTATTGTCCTATTTTCTACGCTGGGCATCAATGGCCTGCAATACTCCAAGCTGCTAGAAAACATTCTGAAGGATAAACTAATACATCGCCCAGCAAAATTCCGAACGAAAGATTGATGTGATGATTGTTGATATCATCATGAGTGATATAGGTGATATAGGTATTATACCCAAGGATTGCGTGGCTTTGCTCAAACCGAATACCATCCGGAGGGCATCAGAAAGGGCCGAACTATGGGACTTCAGCTGTTTCGGGGATATCAGCCTTTGTGACCGGTATCTGCTTGTATTCTCAAACCAGGTATATTCGGCTGAAAAGATTTCTATCGGCTAGGTCGGACGTATGATCCATGAGTTTGGAGATAAGGTATTTATTTATCTGGGGTGTTCATGCAGTTAAGTGCGCAATGGTCTCCGCATAGACGCCTGTTGTCAGATGATTTATTTGGAAATATACAGAGAGGGTATCTCCACGGACTTTATAAAGGGTCTGTGATTCCCGTGTTTAGTACGTGCTGAAACTGGGCTCTTGCGGTGAGCAATTTATCTGAGGCTAATCTACGGGAAGGGACTTAACTGGTCGACCTCGT